GTTCACTGGATGGATGGATGGATGGATGGATGGATGGGTGATGGATGGGTGGGTGACAGATGGGTAATGGATGGGTAATGGATGGATGGATAATGGATGGGTGGATGGATGGATGGGGGATGGATGGGGGATGAATGGGGGATGGATGGGAGATGGATGGGGGATGGATGGGTGGGTGATAGATGGGTAATGGATGGGGGATGGATGGATGGATGGATGGATGGATGGATGGGTAATGGATGGATGGATAATGGATGGATGGATAATGGATGGGTGGATGGATGGATGGGGGATGAATGGGGGATGGATGGGAGATGGATGGGGGATGAATGGGGGATGGATGGGAGATGGATGGGGGATGAATGGGGGATGGATGGATAGATGGATGGATGAATGGATAATGGATGGGTGATGGATGGATGGGTGATGGTTGGATGGATGGCTTGATCGATGGATGGATTAGTGCATAGATGGATGGATGGACTGATAGATGATGCATTGGTGGATGGATCGATGAATGAATGAGCTGATGGATGATGGATGGACTGATGGATGAACAGGTGGCATGCTGCTGTGGACCTGGCCACTCCCATCTCGCTGAGCATTCATTCAGCAGCCACCCCTGCTGAGCCCCTCCCCAGGGAAATCCACTGAGGCTCCCCAGGCACCCTGCCCGCCCTGTGGGAATAGCCTGAAGTCTGTCTTTCATAGCTGAGTGGATGGAATTTGGCATCTGCTCCAGGTTTGTTTTAGGGCAGGAGCAAACTTTCCCTTCCTCTCTTGGAGGCTGTTTGTGTCTGAAGGTGGTGCCACCCTGGCCCTGGGGCTTTGGGTCCCCTTGAGCCCACGGTGCGGTCAGCTTGAGAGGCTGGGCCTGACCCAGGATGACCCTCAAGGGCCCTTGGCTGACCTTCAAGGACCTGGTGTCCATCCTCAGTGGCCAGAGCCGCCCAGTGGGCCCTGGCCAGCAGCTCAGGACCGAGTGTGGCTTCTCCGAGACCAGTTGCTCCTGGCCCTCACCTCGGCGTCCTCTCTCTTGCTCCCCGCTTCTCCTGGCTGATGTCTACTCCTCCTTCAAGATACCCCCGGGTCCCCCTCTGGAAAGCCTTCCCGACCCCAGGTGGGGCCGGTGCTGTCCCAGGCTCCCTCCGTCCTTGACTTCTAGGACAGTGCTCAGTTCTGTCCCCACTCTGCCCGCTGTGCTACCCGGGCCGCTTCCACAGAGAACGATAATGTGTAGCTGAAGGTAGTTTAAGTCAGGGAAAGACGGAGGAAGGCGCGGGTCACCTGAGCCTCGGGCAACGCAGGCCGGGCGGCCGGGGCCCTGTGGCTCCTTGTCTGCCTGGCTTCTGTCCCTGGGACCCACTTTCTGGAGAGGAAGGAGCCCCCCGCTGTCTGCTTCCCAGGCAGTGCATGACCGCTGTGAGTGGAGGAGGGGTCCTTTTCCCACCAGCTCCAGGACAAAAGGTCCAGGAACGCGGGTCAGCAAACCCTGGCCTTGCCATGCGGGAATGAGGACAGCCACGGGGGAGCGGGCAGGAGGTGGCCCCGGGGGAGGGGAGCCCTGACCTGAAGGGCCAGCAGGAGCGGGTGGAATTGGAGCCCCGGAGGAGAGAGTGGGGGCTGGGCAGGCTGGCCAGGAGCTGTGGCCTCTGTACCCTCCCCAAGGGGGGTCCAGCCTGGGGGGGGGCCAAGGGCACCCAGGTGACACTGCCACACAACCCCTCGCCAGGTTGGCCGGGACGGAGCGGGCAGAAGACCCCACCCTGGGCCTGGGCCACCTGCTGCCCCCACCCTGGACCTGTGGCCGGGGTACCAGGCTGCGGTGTGCCCAGCTGGGGACTGCGCCCCGTTATGGAGAAGGGCTCCTTCTCAGACAAGCCCAGGTGTCCCGGAGGTGACGCTGGGAGGCCCAGAGGACTGGCCTGAGCTGCCTCCCCACCGGCAAGAGGCCGGGAGTGCAAGAAAAGGAAGCAGAGGGGCGGGAGCGAAGGACACCTCAGTGGGGACGGTGCTCCGGGGCTGCAGGCCTCCCTGTGTGTGGACAGGACGTGTAGATGTGCGCAGAGGGGAGGCTGCGACCTGACTGGTGCTCCGGCTGCCTCTGTGTCACCTGAGGTCCTGCTCGGCTCTGGGGAGGGCCCCGTTCCTCACTGAGTCCCCAGGCGTCGGGCCAGCTCTGGTGGTCACTTGTGCCTGAGAAATGGCACTGGCAACCTCCCTGCCTCTCCCCAGCCCTCCCCTCTGCAGCTCCAGGCGTCATTGCGTTTACAGGCAGTGGAGCGCGGTGACGGAGGGGAGCCCACGGCAGCAGCAGCCGTGGGGTTGCCCAGACACCTGGGGCACTTTCAGCAGCAGGGAGCAAGGAAAGCAAGACCCTGCTCTCGGGTTTGTTCTTCGGGGCTCGCGATGTCCCCTCGTTCCCTCTGAGGCGACAGGTGACAGGGAGACGGGTGTGGGCAGAGCCAGCCTCTCCTCTCCTATCAGGAGCTGGGGCAGGCTGGCTGGGCCCTTGGGCGCTAGTCGGGCCAGCACTGCTAAGATGATCTCACCAAAGGCTCTTTTCGTTATTTCCCCAACCCTATCCTGTGCTGTGCTATCCATCCCCAGTTTTCAAAAACTGCGATTTAAGCCAGGCACGGTGGCGCACACCTCTAATCCCAGCACTCAGGGGGCTGAGGCAGGAGGGTGTGTTCAAGGCCAGCCCGGACTATATCGTGAGAGCAGAACTTTGGACCAAGCAGCTAGGGTTACCGTCCTGGACTGACCCAAGCTAGATGGGCCCAGGGCTCTGCTGGGCTCCCAGCACACAGGACAGTGCTCTGGACCGCAGCAGCTCGCAGCTGGAGTTCCTGTCACGAGGCTCGCGTGGCGCCGGCACGTTTGAACACCTGTGGGTGCCGGGCCTCAGCCAGGGCTCAGGGCAGAGTGGAATAGGGCTCTCTGAGACCCCCAAACATGTCCTCAGGCTCTGCTGCCCACACATGGCCACCCTCAGGCCCCTGTGGCACTGAGATGGCTGCCTGGGGTCCCGGCTGCACACCTGCAGGTCTAGGTACAAAAAAGGGGGGTCCTGGGGCCACTCTGAGTTGGCCGGCTTGGGCCCTGCCTGAGCAGTCACCGCAGCTGGGACCCTGGACATCCTGAGCAGCCCGGCCCACACGGCCCATTCCTGCGGCCAGGGCTTCCCAGAAAGGTCTAAGCTCTGCAAGGGGGGTGGGCACCAGCTGGCCCTCCAGCACCCCCTCAGGGGTACAAGCTGGGACGCTGGCCTCAGGGTGGCAGTAGGGAGCCCAAGAGACCTCATTCAGAACCAAGGGGCTGTGCCATCTCCCCCAGCTCGGATGCCTTCCAGAAGAGCACTGGCCCCCATTCCCAGGAGGGCCTCAGCCTGGGGAGTGACACAGGGGCACTGCAGCTGCTGACCCCCAGCTTTTGCCGCCCAAGGTGCCCCCTACCTCGCCTGCAGCCCCGATGCAGCTCAGGCTTTTCCCACACCCTTGGGCTCAGGGTCCCTGCCCGGGGATCCCCATGTGGGACGGGCACATGGCCCCGCTGCCTCCTCGTGAGGTCTCTAAGTTGGCGCGCGTCTTGCTTGCCGTTTCCGCCAGCCAGCAGGCCCGCCTCCCGCACTGACCTCTACTCCTGTGTCCAAGTATGACTTGACAATGACTTCCGGCGCTGAAAGATGCCCCCATTTCCCTGTGGTATCTTCGGGGTGATCGCCTTACGGTCCAGGGAGCTGTGGGGACATGGGGGGGGGGTTCTCTGGACTCCCTGCTCCCCCTGCCCCCAGGACAACGGCAGAGCCCGCCCTGCGCCCCACCACGCTCTGCTCCCAAAGAAAGAACCAGCCGGAGCGCAGCTTTTGGCAAAACAGTTTTATTGTTCAAAAAAATAAATGTTACCTTTGACATACAAAAAGGCATTTTAAAAACCACTTTAAAAAGGCATTTGTTCTCAGGGTCTTATCACTTCAGGTATCTACATTTCCATAAAAACCCGGAGTAGTTTTCCGGGCTGAGAAAAATCCCGGCACACACTGGCTGCTGGGCAGGGGGTGGAGGCCACCGCTCCTCTCCTCCCTCACAGATGGAGGCCCAGACCCCAGGCTGCCTGGTGAGGGCAGACAGCAAAGATGCAACCCAGGTGGCAACAGGCCCTCGACCTTCGCAGGGCACCACGGCTCCTCCCTCGCGCATGGGCCCTGCAGACAGCGCCACCAGCCTCTTCCCCATGGGCAGAGCCGGCAGGAGCCTGCTATCTGCATGACAGCCAGAGAAACTGAGGCAAGGGGGTTTGGTTACCAGCCCGTCGGGGGCCTTTCCTGTCACCCACGTGCAATCACCGCTTGATGGCCTGCTGGGTCTCAGAAAGGCCCTCTGGGCCTCGCTGTTCCTGTCTGGGGTGGGCATTGGTGAACTAGTCCTTGAAGTCCCTCTCTGCCCACCACCCCTTGGCGCTGGCTGAGAACCTGAGATGTGATGTTCCGGAAGACCTTCTCGCACAAGTCTTCCAAGAATGCATGCCGCCTCGGGCTCCCGCTGCCTCCCCCGGAATCAAAGTGTCCGGCGGCAGCAGCGCCAGCAAGATGTCCTGCCCGCCCTGGCCCAGGTGCCCTTTCAGGCTGACGATGCCCCTAGCAGAGCCACTGGTGACGATTCAAGTGCCACCTGTTCTTGCCAGGGTCAGCGGATCCTCGTGGGCCTTGTGGCCAGTAACGTCTGGACACAGCAGGCATTCAGACCCCTCTACAGTCTCTCCCTTCAGGACGAGTCGCCACCATGGCCACCACCTCTGCCACTGCCACGGCCACCATGCCCCACACCCACAGCCTTCCCTGCTGAAACACACGGGGCGGTGGGGGGGACGCTTCCCCCCTACGGTTGTGTGGGCAACATGGTGTGGAATTTACTGTGCCTGGTGCAGGCAGACAGAGGGCGAAAAGACCTGTAGGGAACAAAGAGAAGTGTGCCTCTTGTACAGGGAGGGACAGAAGGTAGGGGACATTACAAGGGAAGATTTTAATAAACATCTGTGCTCAAAGTTCTCTGTCTCACACCTCAGAGGGCAGAGTCCTTGAAGCATCTAGCGTAAATTTTTGGGTGTCCCCAGATGTCCCGGGACAAGCAAAATTCCTTGTCCTATCTTCTGTCCTTCACGACATCCTGTGCTCGCCAATGACAGCTGTGGTGCTGAGCGGAGTTCCCTGCAGAGGGCAGTGTCTGCTGGCAGGTAGGTTGGGGGCTGGGGGGATCGGGGTCCGCCTAGAGCAGTACACCTGTGTCCCGTGTCCTGTTTCCGTACACTGCTGCTGCGGGCCCAAGGCCTGCAGGAAGGCGTCTCCGGTACATATGACAAAACGTGACCCGGCAGGGCGGTCACAGGGCTACACATGCTCGACTGCACACGCTCGGCAAGGAAAAAAGCTGTTCTGCCTGAAAGCTGCGTCCGAGGCAGCAGCTCCATGTGGTTTTCCGGAATCTCCCCTCCCGCCCTCCGTCCCACCAGGCCCGGAAGAGGAAAAGGAAGGATTCAAAAGAAGCAAGGGAACTCCCAGGCAGAGGCCAGGCCCTCGTGGGGCACACTCAGAAGTGCAGGAAGTACCGGTCCAGGCCCTAGGAAGCTCTCATTATGCTGCTAATTTGGGGCCCAAGGGAAAAGACAGCAGAAAGTGGGGAAAATCAACAAGGTGAGACCATTTCACTCGGTTAGCAGGAACATCTGCCCTCAGATCCAAAATCAGAATCTAGCTCTCCACAGCCCAGAAAGCCCCTGGATCCGTTCCCCACCGCAGCCGGGGAGAGCGCGCTGCTCCTGGGCTGCACAGGGGCCTGGTCCCCCAGAGGAGGGGCCCCAGCCACTTACTGCAGTGCACAGGGGGGCCGCCACGGCACACCTCCCCCGCCTGGGGCGTCCAGATCCTTCCTGGCCGGGGCGGGCGCGAGGCTGACCCCCAGAGCCCTGGGCGCCTGCGGCCTGGCTGGGGGCGGGCTCAGAAGCCAACAGGGGGGCCGTATTCTGTGTCTCCCCACCCCAATCCTGGGGCCTGGAGCCGCCAGACCAGGTAGAAAGCTGGACAAGGGGTGTTATTTTTCAAACTCTGTACCAACTCACTTTAGTGGGTTGCAAACAGCATTTTAAAAATGAAAACTAGATCAAGGGTACCCCAGATGCGAAGAGGCAGAGCTTGTTTGTGAAACCTGGCTTAAGACACACTTGTGCGCAGACGTGACTAACTGGTGGGGTGAAATGTCTTTCTCGCCGCAGATCATGGTCCACAAGGTCTGCACGGCACCCGCAAGGTGCTTCCGGTTCTGGACCCTCTGTTCCCGACCCAGGGTGGGGAAGCAGCAAGGGTCCCCTGCATAAGAGCAGGACACTCTGAGGCTCGGGCAGTCAGCGAGTCAGTATTATTCAGAAATGGTGAAATGATGCCTGTCCACCCTTCTTTCTGCAGCAATCCCGGCACTGTTACCAAAGAGATAAGTACCTAAAGGCCAGATGGCCAGGGCTGGGACCAAGGACCCTGGCAGGCTCACCACGGAAATGCGGGTAGCGCAGAGCTGCTCCTGTGGCAGTGTGTGGGGGCCCCCAGGTGGCCGGAGGTGGAACTACCCAGGCACTATCTATGTCAGCTCCTGACCTGGGTCTTGGGACTTGGCCCTGCTAGAGGAAGCTTGCTAATAATGTCCCGGGACCACTGGTCACTGGGGGCCAGGGTACGCAGGATTTGAATAAGGCTGCCTTTCATATGAAGCCCTGGCTAGGCCCCTACATAAGTCACCAAGGAAAAGGGAGAAACGGTTTCAATGCTTGGCCTGGAAGAAACTAAATAATCCAAAGTGGTCGCTCCCCACCAAATGAAAACTTCGCAAGACCCTGGGGCTCCGTGCAGGGGACACAGTCTGGAGGACAGTCCCACAGAGACCAGGCTCAGCCGGTGGGCTTGGGAGTCTGCTTTTTGTTGTTGGCTTCCTTAAAAAGAATTTCAGAGCCTCTGCTGAGAGATTCAGAAAAACAGGTGATGTTGGCCCACAGCTTCCAGGGAGAAGGGGCCCCCGGCCAGGCTGACAGAGAGGCTGCCACCTCCTCCCCGGGGTTTCAGGCAGGGGCGGGGAAGGGGGCTGGAGGGACCAGCAGACAAGAAGTCACCAGCTCGAGCCCCAGGCTGCCGTAGAGGGTAGAGGAAGGCTGGCAATGCTCTGTCCCCGCGGCCAGCTGAGCCCTCAGAAAGGCTGTGGGCCGCAGCTGCCCTAGCAGGAAATCTGGCTGCCCAGCGGGATCAGAGATAGCTGAAGGCCCAGCGCCGCCTGACGTCGCCTCTTTCCCTCCAAAGGATGAGTCTATTGGCTCTGCTGCTACAACCAGTGGCTACACCAGGCAGCCCAAGGTGTAATCACTCTGCAGTCAGGGACCCTGAGACGCCCTGGCTGTGTGTGCTCAGTGCTTCCCGGAGGGAGACCCTCGAGGAGGGGCAGGAGGAGGGGCAGGTGGAGAGGCCGGGGAGCACTCTCACTGGAGCCCCCGACATCAGTCTGGAGACCTGGGGTGCCTTTTTGACATCTCAGTTACCTCTCTGCGGGAGGATAGGCTAGGGGAACAGCAAGCACTGGGAAGGGACAGAGGACCCAGAGGCAGAGCAGGTGAGCCGCCTGGGAAAGGACCCGAGGGCGGGCTGGACGTGGGGAGCTGGACGCGGGGGCGTGGAGGGAAAGGCGGCGCTGAGCAGCTCACTGTGTCCTTCTCACCACCAACGCAGGCCCCTCTCCCGCTCGAGGGTCCAGGCCAGTCCCTCCTGCCTCCCCACGGGAGCCTTCTCCTCCTCCTTTTTTCAGTGTGTATTTTTGGCAGTGCTGGGGATGAACTCAGGGCCTCATGATGCCAGGCAAGTGCTCTGCCTCTGAGCTCCACCCCCAGGCCACTCCGGGATTATTTTGCTGGTGGATCCCTCGAGAGCCTTTCTTAAGCTTTTTCTCCTGACCCAGAGCAGGGGTCCACGGCTCCCTGCTTCTGCATCTTCCCTGAAACACCAGGTGGGAGCGACCATCCAAGGGGGCTGGGACGGGGCTTTGTCCTCTCCTCTCTGGGGTCTCATCTCAGCTTCCAGAGAGCAGGGACACACGGGGCACGCGGGGCACTCGGAGGGGAGGGAGGGTGGCAGGTTTCAGAAGGCCCGGGAGGAACCAAGGCAAGGAGGCCCGGTCATCCCAGGAAGGCCTCGTAGTCCATGTACCAAACCAGCTGGCCGGAGCTCGGCAGCACGCCCGAGATGGGCCACTTCTTGGGCTCGTGGCCCACGCGGCTCACGAGCATGGTGATCTCACGCTTTGTCCTGCCCATGACCAGGACGGCCACCTTCTTGGCCCGGTTGATGAGCGGCAGGCTGAGGCTCATGCGCTGGTACGGCCTGAAGGGGCTCTGGGTCAGCACCACCAGCTGCTCGCCGTCCAGGCCTGTGGGTGACTGTGGGAAGAGGGAGGCCGTGTGCCCGTCGGTGCCCATGCCCAGCAGCACCAGGTCGAAGCTGCTGTTGGCCACCAGGGCCGAGATCTCCCCGGCGTAGGTCTGGGTGCCCTGGTCCTCCTCGGCGCACAGCCGCTGGTGCAGGTGCACGGGCATGGGGTGGATGTTGTAGTAGGGCACGCGGACGTGCTGCAGCAGGTGGGCCTGCAGGCCCTGGAAGTTGGAGTCGGGATCCGACAGTGGAACGCAGCGCTCGTCCACCAGCCACAGGTGCGTGTGGGCCCAGGGGAAGCCGTAGTGGCCCGTGGCCAGCTGCTGGAACAGGGCGATGGGGCTGGAGCCGCCCGACAGCGCCAGGTGGAACTTGCCAAAGCGCCGCACAGCCTGCACGGCAGTGGCCTCGATGTCGCTGGCCAGCTTGGAGATCAGTTCCTCGGGCCAGGCCGAGATCAGCGGGCTCTCTCGGTACCTGGTCCCGAGAACCCGGAAGTCGCTGGGCCTTGGGGCCGACCCCAGCCCTGGCACCAGCTGCTCAGGCTGCTGCTGGGAGAAGGACAGGTGGCTGCCGTTAAACTCTAGGTCCAGCAGGTTGCCGGTCTCCGCTCCCCCTGGGTAGATGCGCGGGGCCTCATGGTCCAGGCTGTCCAGCAAGGGGGTCCAAAAGACCCAGGAGGCCAGCAAGTTCTCTGTGGTGATGAAGGACTCCTTCCGGCAGTGGAAGATATGGGACAGGAGGATGGAGTAGGCGTCTCGCTCCTTCACGGGGCTGTAGGCATAGAAATCGGACAGGGGGCGGCCGAACACCTGGAGCCCGGGCTGCTCCTGCACTTCCGTCCAGCTGTGCGCGGGCAGGGAGGGCCTGAACAGGTTCCGGCTGACCAGGATGGCGGGGTGGCCCAGCTCGCCATGCCCGATGTGGAAGATGATCTGCCGGGGCAGACACTGGCTCTGCTCTGGGGCCCAGTTCCTCTCGTGATGGACGCAGAGCGCCCTATTTTTGAACAGGACCCGCACGTAGCCCACTCTCTCGTCCAGCGCCTTGCCGGACATCAGGATGAAGGGCACGCCCTCCCAGCGCAGGTTGTCAACATGCACGAGGACGCCTGGCACAGGGAGAGAGCAGGAGATGGTATGTGTGACGGTGCTAAGAGCCAGTCCCCTGCCCAAGGTCCAAGTCTGGCTTAGGATCACGGCGTCACCTGTATGAGGAGGTGACCTTGGCCCCTGCCCCGTGGGTCTGCACACGAGGACTGAGGCAGCCGGCACCTCTCACAGCGCTGCGGGCAGCTGCTGCTCCTGCGGGTGGCTACTACCCTCTCCCAGAGCTCACCGAACTTCCAGAACCATCCAGAAGGTGCCCCTGGTGGCATCAGCCCACAGGGTCTCGACCTGTGGCCGGCCAGTTTCCACCTACTTGGGTGGAAACTGAGGACACGAGACCGTGTGGGCCGGCCTGGTCTGTCCTCGAAGGCAAAAACCTCCCCCGAGCCTCCACAGGCTTGGCCCGCACAGAGGCAGATGTGAGACCACCAGTTGGAGGCCGGTTGCCCAGCAAGCACCAACAGATGCCTCGTAAGCTGTAGATGACCATCAGGGGCCGGGGAAGGTGACCATGCCCTGAGCATGCTCATGCCAATCCCGCCTCCAGCCCCACTGTCCAGAAGCAAGGGGCTGGGCTGGACAGCTGCACCCGCCCGCAGCCCACACGCCAACGGGCCCGCCCCAGAGCGCACCTGCGAAGGTGGGCGTCAGGCTGTGGAAGCCGTCCGGCCTCTGCAGCTCCCCGCGCACCTGCGCGCTGTAGGCCTGGTACTGGCCCAGGACGGCGCTGCCCCTGTGCAGGCCCCGCAGGGCACGGAAGGCCTGGAGCTTGTGCTGCAGCACGGCCGCCGAGCTGCTGACGTCCTGGGGCAGCTCCATGGCCACCAGCGTGAGGATCTCGGTCAGGTGGTTCTGCAGGATGTCGCGGATGACCCCATACTCCTCGTAGAAGCTGATGCGACCTGGGTGGGAGGGGCGTCATCAAGAGGGCCCCCACAGTGCCGCCAGACCCCCACCCAGCACGCTTCTCACAGCCCCGAGAGCCCGGACCAGGGGGATGACAAGCAAACCACGGGAGAAGAAGGGGAGCCGTGGGGCCACCTCCCTTCACAAGACTGTCCCCAGGAGACAGTGCCGGGTCCTTGGGCCTCTCGGGGATCAGCGTGGGAAGGGTCTCATCCCAGACAGCACCGGCAGAAGGTGCCCAGCCTCGCCCCAGCCGCAGGGGTCAGCAGAGGCATCAGAGGGGCAGCTGGGCGCCAGGTCCCACTCCCACTGCCTGGTGTGAGATCTCGAGCAAGTGACTTGGCTCCGGCTTCTTGCCCTGCCATTAAGAGGGGCGAGCGAAGGCCACCCAGAGCCGCGCACACTTGTGCCGGGGAACATGCGGGAGTGGGAGGGAAGGAAAAGCAGGAAGGAGGAGAAAGGAGATGAGATTTCAGCAGATCTCGACAGGGTGATGGGCAGTGGAGGAACACAGCACAGGCCAGCACAGGGACGACAGAGCCCTGCCACACGCCGCACTGCTCAGCACTGCAGCTCCGCACGGCAGCTCTGCCCGCCCCTGCTCTGCCCGCCCCTGCTCTGCCCGCCCCTGCTCTGCCCGCAGGAAGGAATCAGGCGACCGGGCCGGGAGGGCGCCTGCCACACCACACGCCCTCCTCCAAGGCGATGCCTGCGAGCTCGGGGGTCCACAGCTCAATGCAGACGGCAGTCTGGGAACTTGGGGCACAGACACCCAGCCCAGTCACCACATCACCCACCAAGAGCGCTGACACGGAGGCGCGGGAGCCACCATCCTCCACAGTCACGCAACGTTTCCACGTGACACCAGCCTTCTCACCAGCCGATTCCACGCCCCCTTGAGGTCCAGGCCCTCCTGCAGGCCCGTCTTCTCCAGCCCGCCTGACTGTCACTCAGGGCCCCGGCCCTCTCCCTGCACCCCGAGGGACCGCCACGGCACTGCCCTCGCATTCCCGGCACCTAACCCAGAGCTGCGTGCCTGCGGTGGACAGCAGGGAGAACAGACCCGCACACGCCCACAAACGTGATGCTGTGAGCAAGACGCACAACCGCTGTGGTACCGTAAAACTTAATCTGCGGAGAGGGTGTAACATGGCCGGAATCAGCAGACCCCTAAGAAGAGAGAGTACCACTGGCAATCAGAAATTCAATCGGTGGATCTTATAGACTAGAAAAAGCCGAGCCAGTGAGCAGAAGACGCTGCTGGTGAAGGCAGGATGAAGAGGTAAAGAGGCCGGGTGTAGCTCGGCAGCTCAGGAGCACGGTGATTGCCCAGCATGCATGAGGCCCTGGGTTTGATCCCCAGCACCGGGAGGTGAACTAAGATCAAGAGAGACAGAAAGATCTGTACCTGGACACAGACAGCGTGAGACTCATCAAAATTAAACAGACGGCCGTTTAAGGAATCAGACATACACAGAAAGAGGAAATCATGGCTCAAAAAGGACAGGAAACAGGACAGAGTACGGGAGAGACGCCCAGGAGGTGACAACGAATGGTGCAAGCAGCGGGGCGGGCGCTGGAGGTGTGGCTCAGTGGTGGGTGCCTGCCCCGCACGCCGAGGCCTGGGCTCCCTCACGGCGCTGCCAAGCAAAGGAATAAGCAAAGAAGCCGTTGGCAGGCGCCCTGGGGCTGGTCACAGCGCGGTTCCGCACATCTCCCGCAGTGTCCTTGGCGATTCCTGCACCTGCTTGCTAGTGGAGATTTGATTCAGACAGACAGGGGGCCCCCAGGACCTCAGGCCCAGCGCGCTCCTCAGAGGGGACCCCCTGGGTTCTTAGCACCTGCCCTGGCCCTCAGGCCAGCCCCATGGGGACAGGACCAGGCTTGGCTGGAGGAGCACCCTGCCCTGAATTCAGCCTTGTGCTCCGTCTGGCAGAGATGCCAGTGCTTCAGGCGAGAAATGGGGCCGCAGCCTGCTCCTGGACGGTCCAGCCATGTTGCTCTTAACCAGAGCGTGAGGAAGTGGCTCCGGCCGGGGACACCAAGCCCCAAGGTGTGTGTGACAATCAGCACCCTGTACCTAGGAGCAATGCCAGCATACAAGGGGAGAGAAAAAGAACGGAGCTGGGTGTGGTGGCTCACACCTGTAATCCCAGCACTAGGGAGGCTGAGGCAGGAGGATCATTGCGAGTTCCAGGCCAGCCTGGGCTACAAAGTGAGCTCAAGGCCAGCCTGAACTGCATAGTGGGACCCTGTCTCAAAAAGACTAAAAAAAAGAAAAAAAAAAAGATGGGCTGAGCACAGGTACCAGCTCCCCAGGACGGATGGGCTCTTGATGTGCTGTACACGTACTAATCAAAGAAAAGCCGAAAAAACCAACCAACAGAAAACCAACATGTGCCTGTCCGTCCATGGAGTCCTCACAATAGCAACACATACGCAGATTCCACCATTGCTCCCCCTTTGAAATTAAAGAAGTGGCGGTTCAGAGAGGGTGGGCATGTGCCCCAGGTCACACAGCTGGGAAGCAGGCAAAGATGAGATCTGAACCCAGGAACGAGGCTCCAGAGTGCAAAACACCTCCCAGTACTAACCTCGGCATGAGGCTGGGCAGCACGAGCCACTTCAGACATGGAGCACAAGGCGACGGGGGAAGCAAGGGTGCTGGAAGGAGGGCCTGGGTCAAAGGTCAAAGGTCAGAGGTCCCAATGCCACCGCAGGGACAAGGGTGAGGATTTGTCTCTAGGGCTGAGGGTTAAGACTTGCCTCAGCTGCAGCCCAGGGTGCCTCGCAGGCCCAAGGGACCACATCTTTTCTCGGTCAGCAGGATGTGAACAATGGATTGTTCAACGTAATCGTTCATTTTCCTCCTTCCTTGTGGCGCCAGGAATGGAACCCAGGGCCTCACTCATGCTAGGCAGTATTCTACCACCGGGGCTGGCCCCGGCCTGCTTAGTTTGTAAATGTGTGTGGGTAAGTCAGATTTTCCTTTTGAATACTGTGTCTTGGAGCAATGTGTATGCATGACCGTCCCGGCCTCATCTGGGCTACATAAAGGGTGAGCGGCAGATACCTCCAAGGGCAGCTTAGGGATAACACAGTGGCCAGGCTGGCAGAAGCACAGCGGCTGAGAACAGATGTGGCCGGCCTTGGCCACCTGACTGAGGAGAGAGGGGAGCTATGGGGAATTCCCGACTTCAGCATTTAAACCAAGTTTATCCCCAGAGAAGGAGGCTCACGCCTGTAATCCCAGCACTTAGGAGGCTGAGGCAGGAGGATCACTGCGAGTTCAAGGCCAGGCTGAAACAATAGTGAGGCCCTAACTCAAAAAACAACAACAAAAGCCAAAAAACTTCTACCATGTATGTACATGAAGCATAAATGAATTCTGTGCTCAGTTCTGGTTCTCATCCCCGAGACAGCTCATCACGTATGTGCAGCATTCCAAAGCCTGACAAAGAAATCTGGAACACTTTTGCTGCCAAGCACTTCAGACAAGCAACCCTGCACATGTACATCCGCACCATAAAATAGGATTCGGCGATAAAAAGATGTGACGTACTGACACGCCACGGGGCGATGTGCTTTGAAAACACCATGCTAAGTGATATCAGCCATAGGCCAAGGCCGGATACTGCGTGATCCGCGTACGAAATGTCCAGAATAATGTCCAGAATAAGCAAAGCCAGAGACAGAATGCTGTTGGGTGGCTGCCGGGGGCCCGGGATGGGGAATTCCGGGGATGGCAGCTGTGGGGACAGCGTGGCTTCTTTAAAGGGTGACAAATGTGTTCTAAAACGGATTCTGGCGTTGGAAGGACAGCGGTGAATATCCAAAAGCCCCTGGATTATGTTCTTTCGGGGGGTGACTCATCTAGTGTGGTATTTAAGAAGTTCTAAGGGCAGGGAGGTGGAGCCGCTGGAGAAGTGGCCCAGGAGGGCGCAGCCTCAGCTACCTGCAGAGGGACAGAGATGGGGCTGGGGTAATGAAACCGATGAGACAGTGCTTGCTGCACTCGAAGGAAGGGGCAGAGGACAGTGCAGAGCAGGACCCTGGAGTCGCCATGAGAGTTAACATATACACAGGGCTGGGAAGGTGCCCGCACTCGGAAGCCAGGTGGTCCTTCTTGAGTATTTTGCTGGCAGGAGCGCAGCTACCAGCCAGGCGGCCCAGGGAACACCGACCATCAGAATGGGGAGAGGGCCGGCCCGAGGGCGGAGCTCAGCCGCACGCCATTTGCCACACAAGCACGTGGTTCTGGCTTCCATCCCCCCCGGACTGGAATGAAAAGAAAAAGAGGAAGAAAGAAATGGGCCACCCTCCACCCAAGTCACCGCTTCAGAAACTGTTTTACACAATCAGCAGAAAGAGGACGGTTCAAGCTTTAAAAACAGATGAGTTTTAAATGCAGAGAATGCAATGGAGTCCTTAAAAGCCCTGCTATCTGCTTACTATTCATTAATTTTGCGCAGCCCCAAGTGGCCCTTTGCTATTTCTAGCCTTGCGCCTCTCCTGCCGGGAGAAGCCTGGGTTTGTGAGCCGCTGGGTGAAGCACAGCCCCGGGGTGCACCTGAGTTTAGCGCAGTCTACGGGCTCACGGCCGGCTCCCACCTTGTCTGAGTGTAAGTGCAGGGCCGAGGTGGTGGCCAGGCAGGGCAGGGGACGAGGCCACGCGGCAGTGAGCACAGGCCGCCGCATATTCTGGTCACTGCCGGTTCTTGTGGACTGATTTTTTCCTAAAACCAATCTCCATCTGCCCTTAGTTTCCTTTGCTGGTGGAAGGTTGAGGGCAAAAGCCCAGTAGTGTTTATTTTTATTTTTTATTTTTTTAAGTTTTCTTCCGGTACCAGGAATCGAACTCACGACGTCGCGCTTGCCAGGCAGGCGCTGTGCCGCTGAGCTAAATCCCCAGCACCCCCACTAGTGTTTAAAAAGAACAGAAAAGGCCAGAGCAGTTTGGACAGAGAGAGACCCCGTGAACTTGGGTCCGGAGGCGATCAGAGGTCCTAAGGTGACAGGGAGGGGCCCCTCGGTCACACCAGCGGGTCCGATGAGATAGCAGAACCGTGGGGAGAGCGCCCTTCGCCCTCTGTCCTCCCAGTTCCACGGCAGAAATGCGCTTTCAGGGGCAAAACAACGTTTTAACACTCATAAACGTGGAATTAGATGCTGGTTGCACAGCTTTGTAAATATACTAAAACCCACAAAGCCGTAGGTTTTAAAAGGTGGATGTTTATGGCATGTGAATTTTATCTCCATTTTTACAAAAACTGAGAAAACACTATTTAGAATAGTAAAAACTAGAAACCATCCAAACCCCCAATTACAGAGTTTCTACAACAACATGAATTAGAGAATTTATCCTGGGGCATAAATAAAACTGAACAGAGCTACCGAGCTAGTCAAAGATGTATTAAGCTGACTATCAGTACGTGAAGATTTAAACACACATGTGTGTGTGCATGTGTGAGAGGGAGAGAGACAGAGAGAGAGAGAGAGAAATTAGGTAAAGATGGACAGCAGAGTATGATAGCAATTACAGGTCTTGGTACCCTATTCCGTCTCATAAAACATAGCCACGTTAAGAACACTCAGGTGCCTGCCTCTCCTTGCAAACTTGGAAGGAGGACAACATATCCATTTGTAAAGAAGTTCCCGAGTTATCTAATCCTCAAAGTCTCCAGAGCGGCGCTGGGGGTTCTCAGCCTCAGCCTCATGCCAAGGTCACACTGGGAGGTCACCGCCTTCCACTCAACCGGAACCCCACTCATGGCTTTCCTGCTGAAGAGATCTGGGTTTTCCCAGTAAAAACAGCTACTTAAGAAAGAAAAAAGAAATAGCTAAAAGCCAGCTGCAATCCTTACCAGTATCTTTTGGGATCGTTAAGAATAAAGAAAGGCGCAGGCCCGGGGTGGGGCGCGGGCGGCCGGCTGGACAGGAGCCCTGCGCTGCCCCGGCTCACCCCGCAGACAGCGCGGCAGATGGGCCGGGAAGGGGCTGGCCCTGCAGAGCGGCTCCTCCTGGCTCACCGGCGAAGGTGGGACAGCTGGTGTGGACCTGCAGGGCCCCACTGCCTCGTCCCTGTGTGAGAGGCACAGAGCAGTCACCCCAGTGCTCGGAGGTGACCGCGGATCTTGCGTCCCTCCCCAGTGTGGGGACAGGAGGTCTCCTCAGCAGGGACACCCTTGGGAAGCCTCCCGCCTAAAACAAGCTTCTGCCCAGAGGAGAAAGTGTGGCAGCACAGACAGCACCCTCAGCCCGGGGTGGGGGCGCCAAACCTCAGCCAGGAAAGACCTGGCTCCTCCATCTGCAGAGCCTTTTCTGCCTGCTGAGGGCCAGCCAGGGGTCACGGCCCCATACAGGTCAAGGTCACACCTATGGCCCCTGCTACTGCACCAGGAGACCCAGGGCATCGGGAGCTCTCAGGGCCTGGGACTGCTGGGAGGAGCCAGGGATAGACTGCTGGGAGGCCTTGGCTGAGGGATGGCTTCCTCCTCCTCCCCACCACCTCCCCCAGTGGAGCAGCAGCAGACTCTGCAGCAGTCTCCCCAGCCAGAGGCTGCGGCAAAAGGAAAAAAAACCCGCAGAGGGGAGGGAGCCGGGGAAGCCGCTGTCACCCGTCTGGATGTGGGTGTACGGGGCTGGAAAAGACTTCCAAATGACCTTGCAGCAAGAAGTCCCTCTCCCAGGGCTGTAGCAAGGCTGGACAGGAGCGCTCCCTCCCGGCCTGCTCAACACAGGAGCAGTCTAGGCTTGGGGGCGGGGGCTGGGCCAGCCAGGGCTGCCCACCTGCAGGGGACAAGTGGAGGACACTCGGGTGCCTGGAGGGGGTCAGCTAGGAGACTCCGATCCTCCCCAGGAAGCAGCAGCCCAGGCTGAGCCCACCGCGGTGGCCCTTGTTGCCGAGCCACCAACCTCCAGCCAGAGGGGTCCCTCCAGCTGCTTCCCAGCCCGTCCCTGGGGGCACAGCCTGGGCCTGGGACCCGCAGCACCTGCCCAGCTTTCTCCCCTGCCTGGACCACAGTCCAAAGCAGGACAAGGCGACACTGTGAGCTGGGCCTGCATCTCCAGAACTGCATCAGGCAACTTCTTGGGACAAAACCCATCCTCGGGCAGGGCAGGCACATGTGTGTCCCAGCCCCGGGACTCGCCGTCACCAGCTGCTCTGGGTTTGCACACGACCGGCCCGGGAGGGTGTGAAGGCGATCTGGCTGCAACATCCGTCCCCCACTGACCACCCTGGCTGGTCTGGCTGGCCAGGCGGTGTCCCCCTCCTCCCTCACCGCTCCACGTGTCCCTCCTGAAGCTGCACTTGCTCGGTGGAAGGGGACGACCACCCCTGATAGAGGAGGACCATCTCCTGAGTTACGGGTAGCTGCGCTCCCTGCTGGAACCTCCAAACAAGGACTCGACTGGGACCCCCAGGCCCGGCACAGCCCCAGGCCTCAGAAAAGAGAAACTTGATTTGTCCTTCTTGGGCCCAGCCTCGCTGGCCAGACCTGGGGATGGGCAAGCGGAGCCCGGGCTGCGTGGCCCACTTGGGGCTGAGGGCACGGAGCGGGAAAGCTTCGTGTAGGGACTCAGGAGCAGTGAACCCCACCGGCCGCCAGAGGCTTGCACAAAAGCCCGAGGCCTCTCTCTCAGGGGCACGGACAGCCAGGTAGGAAGCCGCAGGCTCACCTGGGCCAGCACCTCCGCCCAGGCCCCACCTGTCTCTGTCGGGACCTGTGTCTTTCTCCAGAGCCCAAAGGCACCTCTGCTAGGACAACCAGGCCTCCGATCCGCAGAGCCCCCGGCTCCAGCCCCCCGCAACACCCAAGTGCCATGCAGTAGCAAGAAGGAAGTGGATGATGGGGTGGCGGAGCTCAGAGCCAGCAGTGACGCCAGAACTCGGCTTCTGCTCTTTTCCACCTGTGGTGGGCACAGGAAGTTGCTGCCAGAAGGCAGCAGGAGTGGAGACTGGACTTCCAGGCTTGCTGGGGGCAGGCCGATCCAGGCAGTGGACAGCAGCACAGACATCCACCGCGGGCCGCAGCAGGGCGGGCAGTGTCACCTCTGCCCATGCCCCCCAAGAGGTGTCCTTCAAGGCCAGGCTGGAAGTCCTGGCTCCTTGGACCTCGCCCGCCTCTCACAGCATGGCCTGCCTGCAACCCCCGAGTTGGAGCTGCCCCTCACGCCTGTTACGTGCGAGGTACCAGGGGACACAGGCAGCGTCTGCACAGCTCTGCCGCCCCTGACCCCGCACAGGGTTCCAGCACTAAACGCATACTCAAAGCGGAAAGGGCAGCAGGCTGAAAAATAACAGAGGCCGCGGGAGATACAGAGAAAACGCAATGGAAAAGGACAGCTGGAAAGGAAAAGGAAGAGACAGAAGGTCTGGTCTTCCCCCAGGTCTGAGGCCATGGGCTCCAGACACCCCCACAGCCGCAGAGGGTGACCACAGGCCGAGCTGGACCCAATGCTGCTCCAGCAGCAACGTACATTTGTGCCAGGCTGGGCGCTGGGGCCACCCTGCTCCCCGTGGGTCCAGTCCCCACTGCTGCTGCGGGGACCTTGGGCACGTCCCCAAACCTTATCCGTAACAGTCCCCACCTCAGGATGACTGGGGAAGTGAAGAACACAATAAAAATTAGCTATCATTTATTGTTATTATTATTATTATTACTATTGTTGGGTAAGAACCAATGCATTAAATGTGGTCACTGCTCAAAAATTATGATACCATCATAGAATTCCGAGCTCAAGGTGACCTTAGCTGGCGTCACTCACAAAACCTGTTCGTGCCACAGCCGAGGAAGTGATGCACCACGGTCAGCCAGCCAGAGGCAGACACAGGCCTAACGCACAGGTCCCCCCACCCCAGGCTGAACTGTTCCTTCACTATTTAACCAGCACTGCTGAGCTGGAAGCTAGAGCTGGCAGGGACAGACCGGACTCGTATTGCCAAGGACAGCACAGCCAAGAGTGACAGTCAGTGAAGGCCTCCGAGAAAGCCTCGGTGCCAGGCCAGCACCCGGGAGGGCAAGAAACAGGGAACCCCCCAGGCGGAAGCTGCCACCAGCAGCCATCAAGGTGTGCAAAGCCCTCCCACCGCTCTGGTGGCTTCTACCACTCTCGCCTAAAACCCAGGCTAGTGTCCAACCCTTGCTGCTGGCCACTCTTCTGGGCATCCACGCAGATGCGTGTCACCTGACCAAACGCCCCCTACAGGCAGCAGTGACAAACTGGGTCTGCCAGCAGGCACCGAGTGTGCCCCGGGGGGACAACCATGCCCCAGTCCAGAGCCTCCCAGCCCAGCCCAGGGCCCGACACCAGAGTGCAGGCCACTCACTCACCTTCTGCATCTACTGTCTCCTTCATGATGATCTCCACCCGCTCCACGTGGTGCCGGTTCCAGAGGCTGTCCAGGGCCTTGCGGTTCTGGTCTCGGAAGGGCAGAATCTGGGCCACAGCCTGTCAGGGAGAAAGAGTGTCACATACAGCTCTGCCGGGGCAGTGGGGCCAAGGCTTCCCAGGCTCAGCACATGCCATCCCTGCCTGCTCAGGAGGGACACGCGCTCTTGCAAGAGCTCCCACACGTCAGGGTTTCACGGCCCAGTAAAGATCCCACAGGGCCAGGCTTGGTGGCACATGCCTGTAATCCTAGCACTCAGGAGGCTGAGGCAGGAGGATTGATGAAAATTCAAGGCCATCCTGAACTACACAGTGAAACCCTGCCTCAAGCAAAACAAAACAAAACGCCACAAACAGAAGTGACCTAAATAGTTACCAGCCATAAAGAACATATTGAGAATTACCTATGTTCTTTGACTACCAACTTTTAATAAAATAAAGGTATTTCATTGTCAAAAATGTAACAACAAAAGCTACACAACGGATGTATTCGGTATTTCTTCTCCTTTCGAAGTCAGCAAGTGAAAACCTCACCAGGACTGGCCTTGGTCTGGGGACTGCTCTTTGGGACTGTTATTATCGCAACTGCCCCAGTTGGACGGAAAACAAAGTGCCTGGCACAGGTGACAGGTACCTGGGGCTGACACACGGCTGGCTCAGCAACCTGTGGATGCTGAATACGGGTGCTGTGTGCGCTGTGTTCGTGCTGAGTGCACTGGCCACTGACCGGCCACCCCAAGGGGTGCCACAGGCTCCTGCCTCAGGGCTCGGCTGAGCTTCGTGGGCTTAGGGCACCAGTGCACCCCATCAGTTTCAAGATCTCATTACCAGCCATCTGCCTCAAACAGAATCCAGGAAGAAAAGGATTCTGAAAAAAGCAGATGGATACAAGATTTAATTCTAAATCCCACAGCCTCCTCTGTGCCAGGTCCGGGCACAGAGTTCCTGGGCCACTTCCGCAGAGAAGGAAGGGCAACCCTGAGGAATCAGGCCCAGACCAGCCAGGAAGCAGAGGGGATGGGGGTACACCAAGAGCAGAGGGCTGGACCCACAGGCAAGGACCGGCGGCCCGCCGGCTCCCTGCGCACTTGTACTTTCTATCCACCTGCAGGAACACTGGGGCCCAGTGTCCCCAGGGCCGTGGAGCCTCCTGACTCCACAATAAGCAGGGGGCCCTGCTGATGGGGTCCCCTGGCACCTGTGTGCCCGGCTCTGCAGGCTCCTGGCTGCAGCTCACCTGCTTGCCCAGGTAGTGGTCCACCCGGTACATCTCCTCCTCCTGGAAGAAGCTCCCAAGTTCGGTGGCCAGCTGCTGGGCTGAGAGGTGGTCGTGGCCAAAGGGCTTCTCGAAGACAACCCGCAGCCAGGCACCCGGGCCCGGCCGGCAGCTGCTGTTGATGTTGCGGGCAATGTCCACATAGGCGAAGGGTGGCACGGAGAAGTAGAAAATCCTGCCCGCCTCCCGGAGGCCCTCCTGCTCGACCTGTGCCTCAATGTCCTTGCTCAGCACCCGATAGTCTTCTGCCGTCTTCAGTTGGCGGTACTGGCTCAGCTGCAGGAACTGGCCCTTGAGTCTGGCACAGTGACTGGGTGCCGTGTCCTTGGGGCAGGAGAGGGATTCCAGGGCCTTGGCCATGAGCTCCTGGCCCTGCTTGGGGGCCGTCAGAGCGGCCCCATGGAAGCTGAAGCTGTGGCCCTTCCCCACCTCATCCAGGTAGAGCTGGAACAGTCCCTGCCACAAGTACTTCTTCGCCAGGTCTCCGGTGGCTCCCAGCAGGATGATGGAGACGTGTCCCTGGAGTTCCTGGGCCTGCAGGCAGCCCACGAGGGCCACGCACATGGCCACTGTGAGCATCTTCCAAAGGCCTGGGTGCCTGTGGTGCACGGGAAAAACAGGCAGAGGACAAAGAAGGATCAGACGCGCTCGGGTGGCTGGGACCGGAAGCAAACGCGTGTCTAGGGTCGTGAACATTTCCTGCCTGCTGAAAGCCAGACTCAAGTTTCCTGGGGAAATGTACAGGCCCATGGTCTCCCCTCCCTCCTGGGCAGCGAGGCATCCGTGCCAGGCAGTCAGCGGTATTGAGCCGGCCCCGTAAACAGGGATTACGGCTGGGAAAGTCGTGGGCCACGTGATAGAGACGCATCGCTCTGCTGCCAAGAGCCTGGGCACTGGTAAAGCCACCAGAGATGCGGCCAGGCAGGCTGAGACTGGATCGTCCACTGTATGACCCCAGCCAGTGCCATCACCAGTTGGGTGACCCTCACCCAGGAGTAGTGGCCTCAGGTGACAGCTGAGAGGCACGAGGACATGACTGCTTCTCACCCCTTTCTTGGCTCTTGCCCATGTCTACCGGGATCCATGCACAAAATAGCTACTAAAAAGGGCTCAGCGTAGGGGTCAAAGACAGACCCGGGGGCTAGGGTTGTGGCCAGGGGTAGTACACTTGCCTGGCCCGGGCAAGGGTGCTGGGGCTGGGTCCCCGGCACTGCAAAAGGGAAAAAAATAATTCACTGCGACTGTGAATCCCAATCTGACTCCTTCCCACCCGGGGGGTTATTCAACCTGACTGCCTCTCCCCTTCCCTAGCACGAGTTAATGTTTAGAACAGGCGTGGGCCAGGGTCTGCCACCTCGTAAGCGCCATGAACTGGTAGTGGTCCTGATGGAATACCAACAGCAGCAAAGGTTTAGGCCTCGTGTGTGCCCAGCAGGGAGCCACGTTAGGTCTCAGAGCCCTGAAGAGGCGCACAGAGCCGATTCCATTACCGTCACCCTTTCTGCAGACGGCAAAACTAAGGCTTAGCTGGAGAAGCTCCCGCAGTGAGGCAACGGGGCGCAGGGATCGATGGGCTCCCTGGATCCCGGGCAGCCACATGCCTGGAGCCCCTGGGCACAAGCCTGCCGTGCCACCTGGTTCCCGCCTGATTCCGAGCAGCTGGCACTTCTGAGCAGGTCACAAATGCTCAAGTGCTTGCTTCCTCTGGCCTCTGTGCAGGGTCCACGTGCCGATCTGTACCCTCCGAGCCCCAGGTCTCCCGTTCCCCACGGAGGCTGGGCTTTGGGGAAGGGACAGCAGGGAGATGGGAGAAAAGGCACCGTGGCCATTAGCAGGCGTGGTGGAAACGGGGCCACGTTTGGGGCAGAAGAGCGACGAAGGAGCCTCAGTGACAGACGGCATCATCCTCCGCCACCGTGCCACCAGGCAGAGGGTTAGCAGGACCAGCAGCAGCCTTAGCGGGGCTGTCATCCGGACAGGGAAACTGAGGTCAGAAAGGAAAACTGGACTTACACCACGCAGGCTTGCTGCCCGCCATCCCTGTGCAGAGGAGACCAAACCTGCCTCTCCACATCATCCTCCCCTCCCATTCTCCGCCTCCCCAGGTTGTGGCCAAGCCAAGACGAAGACCGTCTGTAGGTGCTCGCACCAGCACCCGCTGCACGGCTGGCCTCCCTGTGGTCACAGGACCCCGTCCTTCCTCTTCCACTCTCCTTAGCTGCTCCTGCTCCCAAGCGCACAGACGGACCCAGACCGCTTCCCTTTCTTCTGCTTCCTGGTCCCTGTCCTTGGCCCTCAGGCGAGCGTCTCTGTCTCCAGTGGCGACCCCCCTGCCAGAGGGAAGGAAGTGCCGCAAGGTCAGTGCGCGAGAGCGGAGTGGCAGGCAGAAACCTGAAGCCCGGAGAACAGCCTAGAGCAGGAGCGGGCGCCAGCTGGCAGCTGAGTCTCAAACTCCTGACCAGCGCCTGGTACCAGGGCAAAGCTTGGGAGCCTCCCCGCGGTGGGAGGGCATGCGGGGGTGCCTGAGGCCAGCACCCCACCCCATGAAGAGCACGGACAGCCCGGATGGATGGCCCCAGGGCCACGCTGTTCTGCCCTCTCCTCAGTCCGCTTCCTGCTCCAAAGGCCACAGTCCTCCCCTGAGCCCTGGCCTGGGCAGCCACCCTCATTTCTTACGTCCCCAGCCCTTGTTTAAGCACACACAGTACCCAAATTTCAACACGGCAGCCGAATTGCTTACTGTGGTGGCTAAATAGTTCTTTCCTGTATCAGCACAAGTGTGGGAGGGGTGAGGGTAGTGTGTTTATTCTATTACCAGTGTTTTACCTTTGACTGTGTTGCTCAAACTTTCACGTGCATTTGAATCTCCTGGGATCTTTTTTTTTAGACAAGGTGTTGCTGTGCAGTTCAGGCTGGCCTTGAACTCACTATGTAGTCCAGGCTGGCCTCAAACTCACAGCAATCCTCCCGCCCCAGCCTCTCAAGTTCTGGGAATACAGGCTTACACCACCCTGCCTAGCTTTCCTGGGATCTTTTAAAATTCAGATTTTAAGACAGAGGCTCAAGGGAGGGACCGGAGGTGCCAACAGCGGGTCCAAGGAGCACACCTCGAGCGCCAAAGTTCTGGAACGGGACTCAGAACACACACATATCGAAACAGGGCATGGTGGCACACAGCTGAGATCCCAGGTGCTTTGGAGACTGACGCAGGAGGATTCCAAGTTAGAGGCCACCCTGGGCAATTTAGGGAGACCCTCTCAAAATAAAAATAGTAATTAAAAAAAAAAAAAAGGCTGGGAATGCAACTCAAGGACAGAGCACCTGCCTAGCATGCAAGAGGCCTTGGGTTCCATCCCCAGGGCTCAGGGGCGAAAAGCACACACCTGTCCCTTGTGCCTGCTCTCATCACCAAAACAACCCAGCTCTGGTTCAGCAGCTCCTCGGCAGGCCCAAGCTTGGCCTACTTCCAAACAGCCTTGGATGGCTTTCTTGGCCCAATCCTCTGTCTAATAACTGCGTCAAATAATAAGATCTATGTTGACCGAGTCGTCAGCATGTGGCTGATGATTCAGACTGGCATCTCAGTCTCCCCTCGCCGTGGTGAGACAGGTTCTGTGATGATTTTTCAGAGGAAGAAACTGGGGGGAAATACACTGTGAAATCAAAGAGCCCAGCCCGGGGCACGGCAGTAATCGGCCTCCTTAGTCAGCAGCAGAACGCAGTATCAGGGCCCGGGGACCCAGGTTCAACACGGCTTCCTGGCTGTTAAAACACTCAGTAAAAACGGTCAGTTTGAGTCCCGGTTTTTCCACCTGTGAAATAGGACTGTGACTACCCACCGGAAACAGGGAGGGCTGTGAGCGTGAACTGAGATGACGCATGTGATAAAATCATTATACAGTGCTTGCTAATGAAGCTAAGGTGGATGTAAAATGCCTCCTGACCCCGAGGGCTGCACAATCAATTCCGCTATCTCTGGGCTCCAGAGCCAGACCTGCAGAACAAAGGTCCATGCCTGCTTGTCCCCCTCCCCCTAGTCCTCCCCCAGGCAGGAGGAAGAGGAAGGGGCAGAAGAAACCAGTGAAATCCCAAACAGGACCCTGGCCTCTAAGGCACAGGCAAGGTCCTGGGCAAAGGGAGGGCACCGGCCATCTACCTGCGGTCTGCACACCACTCCTTCCTGTAAGGCCCGAGCCCCACAGGTCTTTTTTTTTTTCTTTTTTGCCTTTTTGAGACAGGGTCTCGCTATGCAGTTCAGGCTGGCCTTGAGCTCACTTTGTAGCCCAGGCTGGTCTCAAACTTACAACGATCCTCCTGCCTCAGCCTCCCGAGTGCTGGGATTACAGGAGTGCGCCACCACGCCCGGCTTCCCCACAGGTCTTTATCTGAAGCCCTCATTGCTCCCTCTGGCCGCCTTCCCTGCCCTGCGAGGACTGCAATGTAAATCTACCAAAACTGCAGGCTTGAAGTTCACCCCCAAAAGCCTAGAAGTGGCCATCGAATGACCAACAGTGAATTTTCTTCTCTTTTTTTAAATGAAGAAATCGACCCAGAAACCTTTAGTGAGAAGTTTGAGACGCTGTAGGACGAGGCCAGGGTCCTGGACGGGGAAATGAAAAACGAGGTTTTTCTGTCCGGGCCCGAGACACCCTGCAACCCTGAACAAGTCCTTGACCTGGTGGGGCCTCAGCTGCTTCTCCTGAGAATGGGCGAGGGTATCGGTGATGTCTTACGGCTGCTCACCCTGAACTTTCCAAGGGAAAGGGTCCCCACCTTGTGCGCGGCAGGGGGTGAGCTGAGGGTAGGAAATATGGGATGACACATTAACAACGAGTAGCTGGCTCCGAGGGGCACTCAGGAGGGAAGACTTGGGAGCTCCATTCATGCCAACCCTCCTGCCAGCAGCTGGCTGGCACCGTGCCCACCCAAAGCACAGGGTGGGATGGGGCGGGGGCTCCCAGGCAGGGGCGAGAGGAGCTGTGCTGCTGCTTCCCCCACACGCTGGGTGAAGGGGGGGCAGTGCCCAGTCCCAGAACCCAGGGCTGCCCAACTCCAGTCTGAGGCCACGCTGGGGGAGACTCACCTGTCAGACAAGGGCTAGGTAAGCTTCAGCCCAGGAGCGGGGGCCGACCTGGCCTGCCGGGGCTGGAGGCTGGAATATGACTCTGGTCCCCGCTCTTTCCCAAGTGGGAGAGGCAGACACAGCCGGGGCCACACAGCTGTCCCCGCGTAGCAGTTTCCAGCCAGCACGGGAGAAGCCGCTCTGAGCCTGTGCCCAGCACATGCGGGCAGGAGGACAGCACGGGGATGGGCAAAGATCAGGGTGCTGCTGGTGTCACAAATTTCCTTCCCACCCCTCCCCCAGCCTTTGCCGATGCTGCCTCCGGGGTGCAGCGCAGGGAGAGGGAAGCATCCGAATCGCAGCCTGTGAGTACATTCTCCAGAAGTAATGAGGACACGACAAGAGTCCTCATTCCTATACTTTTTTTTTTTTTTGGTGGTACAGTGATCCCCCACCTATCTCAGGAGTTACATTCCAGAGACCACCCCCATAAGGAGAAAATCCGCGATGTAGCAGCATTATATTTATTATTTATATATATTTAAGGCTTCATAAACCCTTTCCACTCTCCTATAAACCTTTCCCACTCTCATATTGTTTTTTGTGGGTTTTTTTTTTGTTTTTTTTTTCCTCCGGTACTGGGAACCGAACTCACAACCTTGCGCTTGCCAGGCAGGCGCTTTGCCGCTGAACTAAATCCCCAGCCCCCCACTCTCTTATTAACCTTTCCCACACTTTTTGTTTGTTTGTTTTGTTTTGCTTTGTTCCCGTACTGAGAATCGAATTCACAACCTTGTGCTTGCCAGGCAGGCGCTGTGCCGCTGAGCTAAATCCCCAGCCCTCCTTTCCCACACTCTTGTAAACACCTCATATCTCTTAAACACAAGGAGAGATGCTGAACGTGTGGATACGGTGCGGAAGAGCAAACAGATGCTACGATCACTGATCAGCGCCCAGGACACAGAACACATAGTGCTGTGCTTGGTCGCCTTCCGTCCCATGAGCCAACACTGGGCCGTGTACAATCTCATGTTGGCAAACTTGCGCAAGCAGTAGTGGCACACTGCATTTCCATGGTGTACACTATGGTATTCATCCACTGATGAAATACATACTGTGTTTTATTTTGATTTAATATTCTTTTAATAGGTTTGAATTAACATTTTTTATATTTTTATATTGTTTTAAATTTTTTAGGCAAAAATAATTAAGATCATAAATATTATATAAATACCTATATACCGCAAAATCCCACAATATAGAGAAAACTTGATATAGAATTAGGTTTTTTTAAAAAAAACCCGAGATACAGTGAAGCCACAATAAGTGAATGCAATATAGCAAGGGACAGATCTACTGAGGGTTAAACCCAGGACTCATGCATGCTGGGAATACTCTCTAGACCACTGAGCTATGTCCCTGTCCCCCACACCCTTTTAGGGACCACCTGTGGGTCCCCAGGAATGAGGATGAGCTAGAGCCACTATGTATCTGACTGATGAAGAGTTGACTGATACACTTTCAGGAATTTTTGAAGGCAGTTGTTAAATAGCCATTATTAAAAATGAAATTATATTAGTGAATAATTGAATAATTTATATTAAAAACAAAAGCAGCTGGGTGTGGTGCTGCACAGCTGTAATCCCAGTATTCAGGAGGCTGAGGCAGGAGGGTTGCCATGAGTTCCAGCCTGGGCTACATAGTGAGTTCAAGGTCAGCCTGAACTAAATAGTGAGACTCTGTCTCAGCTCTTCCCTCCAAAAAAAAATTTTTTTTTAAAGTAATAAACAAAACTCAGGACCTCCTAATCATTTAATGCCTCTTCCCTATCATCTAAGCTCTTGACATTATCCACAGCTACTGTATCTAGGAGGTAAAAACATTCTATTGGGGTGTGCTTGAACTTGGCCAGGGTGGGGCCATTTCACCCCAGACCCTGGCAAAGGCCAACGCTTGCCTGGCAGAGCCAGCTGTTAAACATTCACTGGGGCACAACTATGCATGTTGTGCTGGACTTTCCCCGAGCATGAGCCTGGTACAACTGGCCATTAGTTGGACGTCTACCAAACTTAACAGCGTCAGAACTGAGCCACTTCCCCCTCCACCAGCCGGCCTCACACGCAGGAATCCGATGCTCTGCAAGCAGCAGCTCCACTTTTCCAGGTGGTCGGCCCCCAACCTGGGGGCTGTGTGATCTGTCCACAGCCAGACGGCTTCTACCTTCAGACTGCAGCTGGAAAGCAGCCGTTTCCCGCCACGGTCCCCCACGCCCCCGCTGCCGCTGTCTGGATCACCATTAGCGTCAGAGGTCAAACTAGACCCCTGCCCAGCTTGGAGAGGAAAAACTCCCCAAGCAGGTCTGTTATTCACGCCTTCGGGAGCTCAGCCTTCAACAGGAAACACGCCCTGCAGCTTAGCCAGCCAGCAGCTCTCCCATGTAGCTCGACTGCCCTACACAAGCTGCCCAGAGCTGATTCTGCGGAAAACCACGAGAGACACGCTGTGCTTGCCAGCACCCCCTGTATCCCACATCGCCCTATCACCTAGCCCTGGACCGCCTACTCAGAGACCCACAGTTTTGTACCCCGATTGGCAATGCCCCCCCACCTAACCTCCCCTATAAAACATGCCCTCCCTGCTTACTCCGGGCAAATGGTCTTTTTGCCCTTGGCAGGCCTCACCTGGCCTGCAGATAAAGTCTTCACACATTGCTTAAACTCTGCCTGTCTCGGTGGCCTCAACTGTGCCTCAGTTTACCCTAACAGGAACATCCTAACCACCCGGTGTCTATAGTTCAGCCTCAGCACCACAGTCAGGGTCACCTCGTATGGTGCGTTGGGTCCTGTCACTCCTCTGCTCAGACATCCCAAGGGGCCACATGTCCTGGCCTCCTGCCCAGCACCTCTCTGGCCTGCCTGCTACTCTCTTCTGTTTCTCTGTGGGCTCCGGCTGCCCATCCTCCTGCCTCAGGCCCTTTGCACCTGCTGTGCCCTCCACCTGGCCTACTTTTCCCCCACTGATGGCCACATGGTTCACTCCTCACCAGCTCAGCTCCTGCAGAAAATGTCAACGGCTCTGTGAGGCTTTCTCAGGCTACTCTGTCAAACTGTGACTCTCCAGCCCTTCCTTCCTCTGTTCTACTCAGCTCTGAAACAGACACACACTGGTGATTACACTGATCTTGCTAAGTGAGTGCCATTCTCCCCCGCAAGAGAGGAAGATCAGCGAGGAAGTACAGGGAGCTCGTGTCTGTCCTGCCCACTGCACTCTCTCTAGGCCCTGGCACAGAAAAGGCTCTCTCTAACTGGAGGAAAAAAAATGAATAAATCCCATCTGCACAGATAAATACATTAAGTCTCACGGTCACCTCACCTACGAGGGACCCGAGGGGAATGCCGGCAAGGAGGGTACACGAAGGACTCAAAGTGCTATGGCCCAGCGCTCATCAGCAACTGCTTAGGACTCGCCCTGATACTATTAAATAATAAGAGCTATTTATAGAGGGTTCCGCCAGACGCCCGGTGCAAGGCTGAGAGTGGGACACTCTTCAGCTCCTGCCACAGCTCCGTGAGGCGGGTACTAAACAAGCCCACGTTCAGCAGAAGTAAAGAGGAAATAAAGGCGCAGAGGGGTAAAATTACCCTCGAATGCCCAGACAGGTCAGAGGGGACCGTTAGACCACCAGCAGCCTGGTTCCGTGGCAAAGTATAGGTGGCTATGTCCCCCCATGAGGACACTGGAAACACTGGCTTAGACACAGGTTCTGCGTCTCCTCAAGGCAGGAGCTACGGCGGCCTGGGCCTAGACAGGCTCTTTCCGCCACCTGCCCCGGCCAGCTGGGAGCAGCTCTTGCTCCCTGGTGTCAAGAGGCCCCGAACACAAACGGCTGCTAAGTGGCCCCGGCCTCCTGTCCACTTTGCCAGGGTCTCGCTCCCGCTCCTTCCGACTTCACCAAGACTGCGTGCGGAAGCCTGAGTTGATCCCCTTAAACCTGCGAGGCCCTGGAGACGGTTTCTACAGAACAGGTTCAACTCTTTGCTCAACAGCCCAGTGGCCGCGACAAGTTAACTGCTCTGCACCTCCACTCCAGAACGGGAAGACCAGTCGGTCGGCAGCACACAGGGAGATAATCCTCCGAAGGCACTTAGCGCAGTGCTTGGCAGACAGGATGCACTCAAGAAATGTTAGCTTCCGGGCTGAAGGCTAGCATCCTGAATGAAGCCAGTGTTTGCCAGGATCTTGGAGCAACTAGAAAACCACACCAGCATCTCACGACAGCACAAATGCCAAGGTCTGGTCCACGGCAGCTTACCTGGACCTTCACACCATACCAGTAACGTGGTAAAGGGGGACAATGCTGACACGATTAAAATGTCCCAACCTCAGGCCTCGGTAAGGGTTTATCACCTGGCCAGGAAAACAGCAAGTACAAAGGGTAAACCTCTAATTCAATGGCCCTACACCCTTAACTGCTCTGGGCCTCTTTCTCCAGCTGTGAAATGAGACAACCTACTCATTTTAAGATATGGCTGGAACAAACCAGAACTATATGCACTCAGAAATGCTTTGGCAGGACACGGCGCTGAGAGATCTCCCAAGACACCGCCACTGACCCGCAGCTCGGGACAGCAAAAAGTTATAGACACCTGCTCTCGGGAAGGGCAGGGTGCGGCTCTTCGGGTCTGGCCACAGCCAATGACATTTTGCCTTGTTCAGATTCCATAAATAGATGGAGTAGCGACTAGGCCACAGACCATAAAGATATCCTTCTGCTTCCTTTTGAATGGTCCAAACTGTCCAGACCGTAACTTAATAAACTCCAATCGTTGGATAAAAACAAATTTCGTACGTTTACCGAGTACAGTTTTAGGCTGAGCCGTCTTGTATTTCAGAGAAACCCCTACAGCACGAGCTGTCTGAAAAAGCCCTTTTATCTGGCGTTCCCCAAATATATCAACAGATGAGCCTCCTGAGCTCAGGATTCCACCAGTCACCCACATGCCTCGCTGCAGAATGTACACTAGAGATTAACATGCGCGCGTTTGACACTTTGCTGCCCTCTGCTACCTGTCCTGAGCCGCGGCCCGGGAGAAGTAGGGCAGAGATCTTGGCCTTCGGGTGTGCCCAGGATCCTATTTCTGGCCCAGAGAGAGGCTGACCTCCCGGAAGCCACTCCCGGCATCTGCGTATCGGAAACGCCGTTTGCAACCGAGGGCCGAAGCCAAAGCTCAGCAGAGCGCACAGAGGAAGTAGAGCTCCATCTTTGGACGTCGCTGTAGGAAGCCTAGCAAAGGGGCGTGCGGGCACCTCGGGTGACCACGGAAGGGCCCCGGCGCCCCCCAGGGACGCCCCAGCCGGGCTCCGCAGGTGGCGACCCCGTGCGCCGTGCAAGGAGGCCGGGCGCGGGCGTGGGCGGAGGGGTCGCGTCCCAGCGGGCGATCGGGGCGCAGCTTACTTCATCCGCGGGGGCCGGCGCCGCCTCTTCTTCGGGGTGCGCGCGTCCGAGTCCGGCCTGAGTCC